AATTATTTATTTAATAAATTTGCTAACCATGCAAAGAAAGTACCCGCCATTAGAACGACCACCCCGCCCTCAGCCCTCAAAGAGAACACACTCATGCACAACAAAAAAGGGGAGAAACATACATGATTTTGCCTCTCAGCATATGCAATGAACTTTTCCGGATATCGCTTGTTAGTCAATGTTTGTGATATTACACTACTCATTGACCATTGTTGATCACCTTTGTTCTCCAAGCAGTCAATCCATCTATCGGGAATAGTCATAGCCTGGCGATAGTCAAACCCTAATCCACCTTCATCAACTGGCCAACAAAGAACTGGCATGCCTGAAACATCTACTGCCACAACAATTGCTTCTGGGTAGAGTTTGTGCATTAAATGGTTCACGAGCATCATATAAACAACTGCATCTACATTGGTATCCAAACCAAAATACTCTTTGTAATTTCCAGTGAATGACATATTGATACCATTGTGATTATATAGCATCGATGTAACCCCAACAAATCGGAAGCCATCAAACATGAATTCGTCCATCCAATATCTCAAATTGGAAAGAAGGAATCTTAGGACCTCCCAATTGGCATAGTTGAACATGCGGCCATTCCACATCTCATTATAGCCCTTGTCTCCTGTGTAGAAATAGGATTCGTGTGCACTTTGTCCAACATCATAGCCATTGAGACCGTCTATCACATTATTGCTCGCATGGCTGTGGACAACATCCATCAGAACACACAATCCAAGACTATGTGCCTTGTCAATAAGATATTTGAGGTCCTCTGGTGTGCCTGATCTGCTGCTAACTGCGAAGAAATTCGTCACGTAATACCCAAAAGAAGCAGCGTCAGAATGTTCCATGATTCCCATCAACTGAACTGTGTTGTAGTTAGTTGCCCTTAAGCGCGGTAACACATTGTCTGCAAATTCCCTGTATGTGCCTACTTCAAGCTTTCGACCACTCACCCCCACATGAGCCTCATAGATACGTGGAACATCAGGCTTTGGAGGTCGAGGATGGTTGAATACATACCTGCAAAATGAACAATAAAACTATCATAACACTGCATTATTTTTTTGTATTTTATTTTAATTGGGCATTATTTAGAATCCTTGCTCTCAAGCTACTAAAAGTAGACCTTTCGGTAGTTGGTGGATCCCAGTGAACACCATCGTATGGAGCTCCAGATTTAGAGGCAGTAACAGTTGCATAACGAATCCATGCTGGAATCCGTTCAACCCATACTCCATCGTGCCTAAATCGAAATTTAACCTTGGAATTGTGAGGGATGGCAGGTTTCCCATTGACATTGGAAATCCTGATTGACCAAACGCCAAAATTATCCTTTGTCATCTTGTGCCCAGAACCATTCCAGTTGTTGAAGTCACCAACAAGTTGTGCTTCTCTACACCCATAAAGTAAACAGTTGCAAGTAAATGCACGGATTTACTAAAGATAGTGAAAGTAAGTATTTGCATAAACGAAATGAGTGACAGCCAACTATGGCCACAAAAGAGTGGATTATGACGTGAGTGAGAAACTTGGAACATTTGTCTATTCTTTAATTACTAGCTAGTACCAGACAAGGCAAGCCATCTCACTAGCAACAAATATGGAAAATAGTTCTTAGACAACTTCATCGGTATTGCATACTTAACCCAGTACCATTGAATAATAATAGTTGCCAATGTGCTATGTGTTGAACTTACTCTGCTGCAGGAGCCCATTCCCTATACACGGATGCATCATGCTCTGTGTTGATCCCAAACTTCAAATAGCCTACAACACATCGAAGGCCAGAAACACAAAAGTAGATAATGTTTGTACTGGTATAAACAAGTCATTTCGTGATGTGAGCATTTTGAATGCATGAACAAAGCTCACCTTTAGAGAATTCCTCTAGGCCTCCCTCATGTTTCTCAATCAGAAGTTTCTGTTCAAGGTACCTTTTCATCGTATAGTTGAAGTGGTCTTTGAATTCAGCCAACTTTGGTTCCAGATCGTACATGGGAAGGTGATCAGAACCATATCCAGTTGTTGCCGCGATTTTGTTTCCTCGTGCAGTCACAGAAACAGAAGACTTGCTCTTGGCCTTCCATAAATGAAGTACAGTTAATTAGAGCGAGTGCATATTTGACTAAACAAGCAATGTATATACAACAAATGATCATGTGTGTCTAGTATAGGACTTCCAGGATTAACAATAGAGGAAACATAGAAAACTGATAAAACTATGTTCTTTTTGACATGTTCATGTTTGGTGTATGTTTTGATGTCAATTTCCATGCAATTGTTTTTTTCTAAAAAAAAGATTTTGAATGCTAAACTTGTTTCTCAACACAGGTCACAATATTTGTTCTTTTATTCATGAAGATTTGATCTTTGCAATTTTTAAGTCATATTTATGATGACACATCGAGACACACTAACAAAAATCCAAACACACGAAAAGAAACGGGGACAACATTGGATACTATGTTTAAATACATAGAGTGCTTCACCTGCAAAAAAAACAAAGAGTAGTTAGAGTTAAGTAGTCACATCAATCATCACTTAACAATAAAAGCGACACATATATCTCCGAAAAAAATGTCAGAGAATGTGTGATCCGGAGTGTAAGCACGGGTGGACTATGGCACAGAGCAACATTTTTTGGTATTGCACATGATCATGTGCCTATGTATTGACACGGTACACGTATATATGCATATTTGGGCACAATCATTACAAGTAATACGGCAGAAAACTTGAAATACTGCAGGGATAAAATATGAACCGCAGATATGTAAAGAAATTTAAGGGAGTCTTCATCCAGTCGCTGAACCCGGACCCAAAACGGTGTCCTGCACAGCGATAACACAGCGACACAGGGAAAGAAATGATGTCTACCTTCCGTGGCCACGACCAGTAGAGCAGAAACGGGACGGACGGCACCACGCTCAGTCGCTTGCCACCGCCGCCGCCACCCTGCTCGAGAGGAGACCCACCGCATCAGGACCTCGCCGGGGCCACGCCGGAGAACGCAGAAACAATTAGTAAAACATAACAAATCTCGGCTCACCGCGATGATCCCGGGAGGCGCCCGGTCAGCAGCGGGAGACGGGCGCGGCAGGAGAGAGGAGCTGAGGCACATCATCGTCGTCAACGGCGCAACCGAGGGCGGTGGAGCTGTCAGCCTCGGTGGCGGACGAAAGTCCCATTTTCCATGGAGCTCGTGACCCGGCGTGCCTTATAACGGCCGGAGGAGGAGCTTTTCTCTCTGCTTGGCCGCTTCCGGCAGAAGAGTGGAGTGGAAGCAACGAGCTGGAGGCACGAGGACGACGGGGCCGGAGTGCCAGTGGACGGTCGGGGAGAGCCCGTGCCGTTTCTGGGCAAGCTTGGGCCCTCACTTGTCTAGAACAGCACAAAAATAAGTACAGGTTTCGTGTCAGTTAGCGAGAGAAAGAAACTAGACTTTTGTCCCACTATTATATAGTATATAATATAAAAAGCAAGCCAGGGCCATCTGCCGCCAAACCCCTTGTGGTCCACATGACCAAGAAGTGTAGCCACCATCGCCACCACGGAGTCCGCCTGAGAGTTGACCGGGTACCCCAACATCATGTGCCAAACTTCTCACCCATGCCAAAACGCGTTGGCGTCATCAAGAAGGGAAGCAGTCACTTCCCATTGAATCCATGGGGCCCTCCACGATAGAAGAGCGGAAGAATGCCGTAGCCGCCGTCACCCCCTTGCGTCATCACCGCCCTGGCACACCGTCGCGCCCCTACACATGTGTTGCATTGGCAGCACCAGCCCACATCGATCCCACCTTGTGAAGAGACGAGGACGCCCTGTCGTCGGGGACGCCCGTCGGGTTTAGCCAGGCCGTGCCCTTTGGCGGAGTCCTAGGAGGAAGAGAGGAGATGACCGAGGGGAGGGGAAGGGGTTAGACGGCGGCTAGGGGTCCTTCCCCGTTGCACGTGGAGCAACATGAGAGGGGGTAGTTTTCTTTTTGTTAGTATTACAATACACCATTGAGAAAAACATTATCACCACTCGCCATGAGGGACACACCAGTATCCGAAAAGGAAAAGGAACGCGAAAGTTTCACGGAACAGTGAGATACATACACCAATTGGGTCTTTTTTTAGATACATACGGCAAATTGGGTCTTCTAGTCTCGCGTCTATTGGGAATTCCCCATAGAGAGAAGGTGCACGCTCCATATTATGCTTACAGCATCGAATTAATTGCCACCTCCACAATGGCAATGTCGCGTCATAGATGGTTTTTTTAGACGAAACATCTTTTTTCTCATCATAGGCGCGCGTGACATTTTCCATGATGAAGAGGGTTCTGTGAATTCTATGACAGAAAGTTCCTGCCATGAATATACTAGGAAACCGTCACTATTTCCATCATAGAATAGCTCGGCGTCAGACCCTGATTGCTAGCACGCCAGTTGACTCCACGTGGAGAACAATGTAATCATTCGATGTGGCGCCCTTTTATGACAAATGGCACCCTTTTATGACAAATGTCTAAGAGCAACTCTAGCAGACCCCGCATTCCGCCCCGACCCGTAAAATAACCGTTAAAATGCGGGCCGGACGGAAAAACCCGCCCGATCAGACCCCGCATCCCGCCCCGGCCCGCAAAATTTTTTCAGGGGCGCGGCAAAATCCCGAGCCCAACCCGGGAAAACGCGGGTTTCCCCCTCGCGGCTGTGGTGCCCTGTATATAAGCGGAAGCGGTTGGTGGGGGGACATTTCATCCCGCGCTTTCTCCCACCAACCACCTCTCCTCTCCCCTCTCGCACCGCCGCCGGCCGCCGCCCAAGATTCCGGCGACCGCAGCCGGCAGGAGCATGCCGGGAGGCCGCCACGCGCACGAGGCCTCCCCCCTTCCCCCTGCGTCGCGGGCCACCCGATTTGCAGATCTGTGGCAGTTCATCGCGGGCCGCCGGATTTGGCTTTTTCCGGCCGCTGATTGCTGCCCCAAGCTATGGAGTGGTCGGGGAGCCTCTCCCGCAGCCCAGGCAAGGGCGCATCACCGCATGCAGGTGCAAGTTCGTCCGCCCGCCGTTGCCAAAGGTTTGCGGGCATAGACTCGTCCGGCCGTCCACCGGGCTCGGTGCTCGCGCAACGTCTTTGTGGCTTGCCGATGCCGCTCATAGAGTGCGACGACTGCACGCGGAAAGTGCTGCGGCTCACTTCGAGCACGCCGAAGCACCCCGGATGGGTGTTCTTCAAATGCGAAAACGACGGGGTACATGCACTTGCGGTAGCTCGTTTCATGACTCATTCTTTAGTTCGATTGTGGTAGCTCACTGTGAGCTTCTTTTGTGTAGGACCAAGGATGCTCATTTTGGTTTGGGGAAGGCCAATACATTGATTTGTTGATAGAAAGAAATTTAATAGATGTTAGTGCACTTCTTGGTACAATCCAAGGCAATGATGCGGCCGCATGTGCAACTAGAGGGGAAGCAACGTCTACTTCTTTGAAACCAAAGATGAAGAATGAAGAAAGCAAGATCAAGAATTCGCAGATCAACAATGAGTGCATGGAGAAGATATTGCTTCAACTAGTGGGAGCAGTTATGGAAGTTGGATATCTTCTAAAATGCATACTTGTGGTTCTTGTTTTCTTTGGTTTTGCTATTCTAGCCAAGATTTGGTGATATCTTTTGTATCTAATGTTGTTGCAAAAGCAAAGAAAAGCATTATGCTAGATCAATTTAAGTTGCAAATCTAAGTTTTGCGGGCCGGGAGGAGCTGCATATCAGAACCCGCAGAAGCCGACCCGTAAAAAAGCATATTCCACGAATATGCTTTTTTACGGGTCCATTATATGGGGTCTGCATCTGTGCCAGCCCGCGCCGGCCCGCTTAGGTGGCATCGCTCTATGTCAAACTTTAAATTGTCGTAATCATAGAACCCATTTAAGACATATTTAGGTCAATGGGGCCAGCCCAAATTGTTGTGGTATTAATATACTTTGTGATGAAATTCGTGTGTCATAACATACAGCCAATTGGCGACCTGGATTTGCTTCGGACCATTAGCTGCCCATCCTTGCACAGATCATTTCTAGGCAACCTTGTAATTGACAACGCATCTTAATCAAGCATATGCAATAAATTATCACACAATTTGAATTGATTATTACATAATTTGGAGAATGAATAATTTCTAGTTCACACCGTATTACACTCACATACGTTTGACATACATCTAAGAGTTCATGCATACACATCCTCACATGACAAGCTCACAAAGAGAATCAACATTTCAACTAAGATTATGATGTGGGATTGCCCTGAGCTCCGGATATTAGAAGCCTAAGAATTTGGTCGGTCTTCGCTTGCTTCTTTCTAACTTCATCCATCTCTTGTTTGGTTTTGGTGAGGAGTGCATCTGATTGCTCTATTTGCCTCCTCATGATGTCAGTTGCATCTCGGAGTGCAGCTGCACCCTGTCTTTCAGCCAGTAGTAGAGCCTCAAGAGCTTGAATAATTGGCAACTTCAATGGGCTTGTCTCTAATTGGGAATTATGTTCGAACGTGCTTGTGGAACTTATGTGGGGGGGTATCTCGGAAGCAACATCCAAAGTTGATCTTGGGGTCGTCTGTTGTGCAATCGTAGTTTCAATTGCATCCTATTAAGTTTTAGTTACTAGACATGAGTAGGGTTGAAATAAGTTACAACGGTGAATCATGAAAAACAGACTAACTTCTGTATGGCAAATTAAACATTAAATATTTTGCATCCTACAATTAGACATGGAAAGTTATGTTTCTATACTTGAACTTGCAATAGCCGAACATAATTTAAAATGGCACGATGCATCTAGACCAATAGGGATAAGATAGACTCTTTTTAGAAAGGATTGCCTAGACTTTACGTGCTTGTACGTCTAAAACGTAGCAACACTTACCAACCTAGACCACACATTATACCTTGCTGGACATCAAATGGATGGATATTCTTTGTTGCTTGAGTTTTAAGATTTTCATATATCCGCAAAACTTCATTATGCCAGCATCGTCAAACATTCATTATGCCAAGGTTTTAAACATCATCATTGGCCTATGGACATGATGCAAACTTGTTCTAACATGATAAAGAGTTTATATACAAATAATACAAGAGGGACACAGATTTACAAGATAATAGTCATGCTTCAGTCTAAGATTGTTTTGCTTCTTCAAGGTTTATACCAACAGTAAAGCAACGAATCCCATCAGAATAACAAAGTTAAGCATGCTTGAACGAGAGTAGTACTAGAATGGGTGACGCCCTGGGAAGTCCTGGTGTTGCGTGCCTCATTTTTTGGTCAAAGGTTTCCTCCATGCCATCGCCTCGGTCCTGCTCTTCTTCCCCGTCCATTGGCCTCGTCGACCGCAAGAGTGGGGACCCATCTGTCTCATTTTTCTTTTCCCCTCAGTTTTGTATATCTGGCTGCATTAACGAAGTGATGGCGATGATGGCATGTTGGAATAAGGTCTCTTCGGCATCTCTCTACATCAACGATGTTCGACCAGGCACCGATGAAGGGCCTGTAAGAGTTTGCGTCGCCAAATTTGTTGACTGTCTTCGGATTTTTACAATTGATGTGCCTATCAAGGAGAGCAAATGGTTGGCTATTTGTGGAGCGACTTCGACATCTTCTTACGTGTTCTTCTACGGCATGATTTGGTTTCTCCAACTCTTGTACTAAGTGGGGTGATGCACCAACCGATGCTTCTTCAGCGTGTTTTAGATCTTTCTCAAGCAGAGAGTGGCTATTGCGGTCTTTAAAGCCTAGTATGGCGAGGGTATTTTTAGGCGTCCCTTTCCTTTATTGTCGGTTGAGTGCAATTTTTAATCTCCGAAAGATGGTGTACAATCTGAAGGAGGCTAGTATGATTTTTAAGGTATTTATTTCTACTTGTCATTCTGTGTCTAATTGTCATTCCATTGTACTGTTTTTTTGTTTTTGTTGATAATTATCAGATCTAAGATGCCTTTTGGGTGTCTTTTTTCCAAGAAAGATAGTTTTGCTTCTTTGAGGTGACAAGTCCAAAAATATACTGTATTTGTTTGCTTGTTCCAATTGCCAACTAAAATGACATCTTTAGCCCAAAAGTAGGATTCGGTGATAATGACGGGCTAT